AGTCGTGTGGCATGGCCAACAAAAAAATGTAGTTAAAGATGAAAATATAAATTGAAATTTGAAAATATAAATGGCATTGCCAACAGCGGGTGAATCCTGGGATATCTGACCATAGGGAGGCTGCTCCTCTGTGGACAGGGCACCTTGGCAGCACTCAGGACCCATCAGAGCCAGCCAGTCCCCCTTCTCTGACCACGTGACTGTGGCCTCCCCACCCTGTCTTTAAGGACTGTGTCAGTCAGTCCTCTGGGCTGTCTGGGTGGCAGCTGACAGGCCAGCGTCTCCCGGGGGCCTTGAACCTGTGCCTGTATTCTACCCCTCGGTCCAGTTAAGCAGGACTTGGAAGGTTGGGCCTGTGTCCTAGGGATGCTTTCGGCAGCCCGGCCAGGGGGCCCGTGGCCAGGGCGCTGTGTCGTTTCTGGGGACCCACCTCCAGTTGGCTGCGTTTTCCTCGGGGCCACAGTGCTCTGAACTCTGAACATCTGAGGCTGCAGCTGAGTAAACCTGTGGCAGATCGACTTGGTACCAGGAATAATCTGTTTCTGAACCTGGGATCTGGGGCCTGTTTTCTCCTGTCTTCAGAGACAAGCTCGGCCTTCTGTGCGCCTTGAGACAGCCTTCTCTTCTGTCTTCTCTCTGAGGCTGACTTTGCTCGAGTTTAAATATGGCATTCACAAATTTTATTAATCACGTGTACTGACTGACTTTTCCATATTAATATTCAGGTTCTACATGTGTATCTGTTTGAGTTTAAGTTATAAAGTAAACACAACTTGACACCCTAAGATGACTGATCACCAACACTTAACTCTTTCGTCTCCTGTAGCACTAACTTACGATTAAAAGAAGAGTTGAAGACAGAGAAGAAGTCTGGATTTTGGGACAATTTGGTTTTGAAACAGAACATACAGTCTAAGAAACCAGATGAGATAGAAGGTTGGGAACCTCCAAAACTTGCCCTTGAAGACGTGGCAGCAGACTCGGGCGGCCCCGTGAGTGACCGTGTGTCTCGGCCGGGCTGGCAGGAGGACGCCAAGGGCTCTACCAAGTACACCAGCCTGGCCAGTGCAGGGAGCAGCTCGCGCTGGAGCCTCAGGTCGGCCGGGAAGCTGGTCAGCATCCGCCGGCAGAGCAGAGGCCACCTGACGGACGACTGGGAGGAGCTGGAGTGACCGCCCAGCCCCCACGTGTCCTCACACCAAAACCTGCCTGATCGTGCACCTTTGTATCTCATCTCCTTCACATTCCTAGAGTCTGCAGTATCGTGGTGTTTATTAGTATAGTGTCCTGTTTGGTCTTTCCCAGATGAAAGTCACAGAGAACCTGCTCTGTGCTGTTTCATTTGGCTTTCCTCTTCAAATGCCAAGTGAGGAAATGCCAGGCGTCCTGTGATTTCTCAGTGGGCACGCACAGGGTCCACCTGTCACCTGCGTGTTGCTGACCTTAGGTGGGAAGTTCACTGCAGTGGGGATTTGCTGTTTGCCACAAAACTGTCTTTCTGTGTCCTGAGTTGCGGTTCTGTGTTCTGTGACTTGATCCCTGTCTCTGCATGTAGCACATACCTGTAATATATGACTCAAGAATGTAGCAGCCACACACTTCTTTTCTGTTGCCAGAAACCTGCAATCCAGGTGTAACGTGAATCTTCCAAAGGTCACGTCACATTGTGCTCACTCTTCTTTTGTATTAAACCATAAAATATGCAAGCAAATTAAACGCTGGCGAAGTGAAGGCTGTATCATCCCCAGAAATACACTGTCTGCAAACACAGCTTCACCTCCCACAAGCGTATTAGATGGTGACAGTGTTCCCATCTTGAGGTTCTTGAATTTTTAAATACTGATGTTTCTTTTCTTCTAAAAGTTTGTTCTCTTATTTTGATTGCAGACTAAAGAATGCTATAAAGCATGGATCAGTTTTAATAACTTGACACTTAAATTTGTTTGGAAAATATTAACTTGCTTGTTAGAGTTGAAATTGTAGGTAAAATGCTGAAAGTGCCTCTTTTCTGTAACACCCAGGGTTTTGTTTTTTCAAATGAGACTGTTGGACCCTGAGAAGCTATGTATTGTGGCTGGTTCAGGAGCATCACTGAGCATCTCTTGTGTCTCCGAACTTGCTTGTTGACTCCTTGACAGATGGGCTCCAGGTCAGGTACGCAGCACGTGTGTCCTCAGCAAGACAGACCCAACCCACAGGAGGACCACGTGTTTCTGAGATCAGAACAGGTGTAGGGGTTTCTGGTTAAAAAGAAAAACTTCCAGTTACACTGTGCATTCCTCTCTTGTGAAAGCCACTGTCTTCAAGGTATTCAGTGAGCAGTTCCGTGCTATTCCACACAAGAGGTGTCATTTAGTGTTTCTGTGGACCCCCAAGAGGTGATGGGGGTGACAGAGTACCTGCCTGTCACCTGCTATTTCTCGGTCCATCAGTCTGTGGACACCCTGTCATCTGACTACCAGCCGTCTAGCCACAGTCTCCATGCATCATCTAACCATCTGTGTCTCTCATCTGTGTAGCGTCTGTCAAAATCACCTATGTCCTTCTCTTTCTAATAGACAAGTTTACTTCACCGAGCCTTGAAAGGGGGACATGTGAGTGGTGGTAAAATCCTATTTGTGTTAGAACCTTGAAGTGGTTAATAGCGGAGTTGAAAACCGTGTTTCCTCAGGTAAACAGTTCAGCTCATTGACTGGAGTCCTTCTCCCTAGAGACACTTGCTGTGACTGAGATAAGCTATCTGAAGCAGGAGCTTCGGGCTCATCTTCAGCTAATCCTCTGATGAGGTGCAGGGAAGGGACTGTGTGTTTGAGGTTCTGGGCATAGAGCGTGGGGTGGGGGGGCGGGGCAGGTGGGCCAGCCCCCACCTCGGGGAGCCTGTGCCGGTGTGCTGTGATGCTAAGTGCCTGCGACCCCCTTGGGGACACACGTGATGCACAGCTGGCAGAACGGCCCCTCACACCCCTCATTCCTCACAGCCGAATGCAAGCCAGAGTGGGGTTGGATTATGCACGTGAATAATACTTTTCTTATCTACAAACATTAATGTAAAAATGAATTTTTCTTCTGTTGTATCTGATTAAAATAACTGTGGATTTTAATATAAATATTTATTGGTGTGCTTTGGGGGAAAGATATTTTTTTCTTGATGGAATTTACCAAAGCGACTTTATTTTGTTCACTGGCTGATGAGAGAGCGAGTCTGTCCAAATTCTGTAAACTGCACAGCTTCTCTGAAGAGTGAAGTATCTGCTCTTCTGACTGTTGTTTTGTCATTAACAGGAAAGTGATTGGTTTTAAAGAAAGTTGAATTCATCCATAATGCTGAAGTTTTTTAAAAATAAAAACATGGTTTATATCCTGTTAGTTTGCACAGTTATTGACATCTGCTTCTGACGACTTAAGCTGATGACATATTCTCAACACTTTCAGTGTCTTTCAAGATGCCAACGAAATGTGTAGATTCATGGATAAATGACCAGCTTCAACCTCAGTCATCAGGATGTAGCTTTTACATATGGGATGCTGTTCAGAGTAACAGGCGCTGCCAGCTATGGGGTCACACAGAGTCAGACATGACTGAAGCGACTTAGCAGCAGCAGTGTCCCACGTCTGAGCCGCCCGCCCTGGGCCCTGCTTTTTTCCAGTGACTTGAGGAGGAGGAGCCTGAAGCAAGCCTCCCCTTCAGCCGCCAGCCTGAGTAGGTTCTTAATCATCTTTTAAGGTTTCATCTCTTCTTTCCAAACAGTGGCCTCTTGGAAAGAAACCCTGACTCCCATTAGGACCTGGGTAGCACCTGCGGTGCTGTCTCGAGCCAGGCAAGGCACGCGTCCCACCAGCCTCCTTCCCAGCGGGGTGTGTCCCGGGCAGCCTTGTCCTCGCCAGTCTCACGGCCTGTGCCCTCCTCCCAGTCCAGCTCTGCACTCCCCCCTGGGGGCCTCTGGCTCTGTGGTGGCCTCAGACCCCCACCCTCGAGTTCTCACTCACTTCACCAGATACTTCGGATTCTTGTACAGGTAAAGGACCTTCTCTTCTCTCTCCCAGTTTACTTCTAGCCATATAGCTTCTTTCCAGATTTTATGGTTAAGTCTCAGTTGATACTTGACTGAACCAAAGATAGGCAGGACACTATTTATAATAAGCTTTAAGACAGGAACTGGCTAAAATTTTTGTAACTGATAAAATAGCCCAAAGGGGGTGCAGATGGTGCTGAGTGACTGACCAAGGGAGCGGCTGCCACTTGCCTTCTGGCAGAAGTATGGTTCTGGTGGTGGGTGTGAGGCAAGGCACCCTCTGAGGGGCTTCCGTGGCACCATGCCCCAAAGACAGATACCACCGCTTCCTGTAGTTGCTGCATCGCCACGAGTGTCTGAGGGGCCTGCAGCCTGCACGGGATGCCGTCCTGGTGAGTGTGCGTCCCCACAGCTGTGTTCTTCAGACTGTAATTGTGCTGCGCCCCATCCTGTCCCAGCCCAATCCAGTTGCTGCAGGCCAGCTGCCAGACTGTTCAGCCAGTTGAATGCACTTGTTTTCTGAAATAGCACTACTTTAACCTAAATGTTTTTCAGTTCATATTGTGAAGAGTCTGTGCTCCCAAAGGACACAATCAATAGAGTGAAAAAGGCAACCTAGGGAATCAGAACATTTTCCAAGTCATCTACCTGATAAGGGCTTAAGTGTCCAGAGCTGGAGTAGTTCCTTCTACATTCAACAAGAAAACCACACACAACTCAATTAAAAGGCAGCAAGTCCTTGAACAAGCATAGGAAAAGATGCTCAACATCACTCCACGACAGAGAAATGCAAATCAAAGCCACAGTGAAATACCACCTTCCACCCATTTGGATGACGACTATCAAACCAAAAACTCAACTCCAAAGCCCAACAAGTGTTGGCAAGAAATGGAACTATTCCATACTATCAAAGGCAGCACCATTTTACATTCCCACCATGGAAAATAGTATGGTGGTTCTTCAAAATATTAAACATGTATTTACCACATGGTCCTGCAGTTCCACTTGTGGGTATACCTCCCAAGAGAGATTTGTATAGCATGTTCACAGCAGCTCAAAGTAGGGAGCACCTCCACATCAGCAGGTGATGAAGAAGCAGAATGTGGAGGACAGGTACGCCAAGGGAGGGAAAGCCTAAGCCATGCTACAACGTGGATGAGACAGGTACTAAAAGATTCCAGTTATGCAGCGTGTCTTCAGCAGTCCGATCCAGAGAAACAAACTAAAACCCCCAAGTGCAAGGCTGGTTCAGCCAACAAGTCAACATGTGACCACCTCTGTGGATGCAGAAAGGGAACTCAACAAAACCCAACACCCTTTCATGTAAAACACCCCCAAGAAGATGAGGGTGGAAGGAAGCACCTCACCCTGAGGCACCCAGAGATGCCCAGCTCGCAGCACACCCACAGGTGAAGGACAGACAGCCCCCAGGGACTGCCATCCACACCCATGGGGATCTGGTGGGAAAGCTGGCGAGGAAGGGAAAAAAGGGCATCCCACTGAAAGAAGGTGATGAGCCCCTTTCATGTGCAGACCTCACAATGTACATCTGCATCCCATGGAGTCTACAAAATACCATTAGATCCATTTAGTGATTTCAGCAAAGTTAAGAGGACTTCTCTGGTGGCTCAGATGGTAAAGCATCTGGCTACCATGGCAGAGACCCAGGTTCAATCCCTGGGTTGGGAAGATCTCCTAGAGAAGGAAATGGCAACCCACTCCAGTACTCTTGCCTGGAAAATCCCATGGACAGAGGAGCCTGGTAGGCTAGAGTCCACGGGGTCACAAAGAATTGGACACAACTGAGCAACTTTCTTTCTTTCTTTCTTAAGAGGATACAGAATCAGTGTACAAACACCTTACATCTTGTTTGTGTATGATTCTAAAAGTGGCATTTACAGCAAAGCTAACACCAAACCCTTCAATACTGTCCTGAAAGGAGATGTGGTTCTCTGTGGACAGCCCTGAGCACACACAGCCGACTCCGTGACACCCGAAAGCAGCTCCTGTGTGGGCTGCAGAACCTACCGTGGCTCCTCCTGACCCACAAGTCACAACCTGGGTCACAACCTGGGTGGGAAAATGTACCTCATTGCCAGGGCAGACACCATGCATGTGCTGACAGCGCTTCCTGGAGGCAGGGCTTCCCACAGGGGTGCTGCGGGTCCCCTGCAGCTGTCCAGCGAGCACAGGGGGCATGCAGGTGCCACATCATGGGCAGGGAACCACGATCGAGAATGCCACAAAAACCTGTGGCTCAGGACAGCGCCCCTCTTCCTGATCCATGCCGTTTGATCATCGGGAAGCGACCGGTCGGGGCCCAGGGACTGTGTGCGTGGTCTCTCTGCCCCTCCCCCACTGTACCCCAGTCACATCCCCGCTCTGCACAACTGCTCTAAGTCCTGCCGACGCCTGTACGTGGGTTCCGGTCCAAGCACATATGCTGCCTGTGGAGATGGGCTGATTAATGGGGAAGAGCTACACACATCTCCCAAGACTTTTCATGTTGTTGAGAGGGAAGAACTCACGTCAAAAGGTTAATATCTTAAGAAATTAACACAAAAAAGACAAACACCCCAAAAATAAACACACATTAGGTAATTTGCCAAAAGTAAAACAGAACAGAAATAAAAGCAACCAGCAAGCTTTCAGGAGAAACGCCCCCCCTCACAGCCTCTTCACGCATCCATCTTCAGGGGAGGAAGATGCCACCAACTGCTCTCGCCACTGCTCTGGGAATGTCCCTGCAGATTTCTGACTTGCTTCTTGTTTGACATGAGGAGAGCATCATCAGATGGATGTAAGCACCTGTGTGGTGTTGCTGATCACAGAGTGATTCTTTTGAGCTGCATGGTACTGTGTCACCAATAAAAACTGTATTTCCACAAACTCTTGTGAAAAAAGATCTGGTTGTAAAATGAGAACACTATATATGCCGTTGATGGTTTTATGAAAAGCTTCCAGCTGATTCACACACAGGGAAACTATCATCTGACAACTAAGCATAGTTCTGGCTGCACCAGTTTGGCAGAGGATGTGTGCTGAAAGCAGAGACTCTTTATTTACAAATATGCAAGACTGCACATTTCCATCTGCTAAGAAGAAGGAAGCAGCAATGACTGGGCTTGGGTTCCCTGACCCTGTTCATTTCTCCCCTGCATCTGCTGGGGCCCTTCCAACATGCTTTCTGGCAAGCACAGCTTTTCTGGGTGCCAGGGTTATGCACCAGTTTTATTCTTTTATAAACCTTTATTTTCAAAATTTTCTAAAATGTACATGCAATATTTTTAAAATAAAATGATCTTTGAGAGGTTTCAATAAATGATTATCAAAATCATTGACACTACTTTTTTTCAGTAAGATGCAAAATTGACAAAGTTAAAATAGGTAGACAAACATGATTTATTATTCTGCTAGAAGAGGATTCCAAGCAGTGTGGTACAGGCCACACCAGGCTCCCCCAGGTCAGGGCCCTGCCGGTCAGCATTGGGCATGAGGCCCAGGACCACAGCCCCAGACTTAGGCCCTCGTGGGTCTCAGCCATCTGCACAATTCACAACCCACTGCTGAGCATCCAGGAGACAGGCACATACTTCCCTGGATCCTTCTGTATCTCAGAAGACTCGTGCAGACACAACCAATACAGTTAATATACATCTTAAGAAAAATAAATATTCTGTACAATGTCATTACAAGGATCAGTGATCTACCCTCACCCCAATCACTACAAAATCGGGAAACCATCATTTGAGTTAAGAGGCATAGTCTTCTTGGCTGTTAGTGTCAGTTCAGCACAGGATGTAGTGCTGAAAACACTTTTTGAACCATATTTACAAATACACAAAGTTCCAAATTTTAATGTGATTAGAAGAATTTTTTAAAGAGAGAAGCAGAAATGATTTTGCCAGGGCTCCCTGACCTGGTTTCAGCGGTGGAAACCACAGGCGCCCCTGCCCACAGGCCCTTCCACGTCCTCCAGCGCAGGCTCCAGGTCACGGTGGGCCCGGCCAAGCCCTCAGTACTTGAAAAGGTCGATGAAGTGCTGCGGGGACACAGGTGTGAAGCAGCTGTCGGGGTCGGCGGCCGTGCAGGGGTGGCCCGAGTCCTGCGGGAGGCCAGGGCGTTACCGCACGTGCCGGCAGGGGAGACGGCTCAGAAGCCACCAGGCCTTCACTTAAATGCACCTGGACCCCACCGCACAGGTGTGCGGACAGCAGGCGAGAATCAGGAACACGTGGCTGCTCGGCGGGGACAGTCCCCGTGCCAGTGCGTGGGGGACAGGGCGGCCCTGAGTCTGGGGGCCGGGAGGAGCCCACGCTTCCCTGCTCCCCAGCCCCGACCCCGTCCTGGTCACGCTACCCCCTCCGCCCACGGTGGGCCAGGATCCACTCTGGAACTGCGCCGGGCACCACCCACCCACGTTCCCCCAAGGGCCCAGCACCACGTCCCCCGGCAGAAACACCCAGGGCTCGCTTGTGTCAGAACAGCCTCGGGACCTGGGGGCCAGTTAGGCCAGTGTCTGGAGACAGGACCCTCCCCCCACCCGCCAAGCCTACACCCTCCCTCTGGTCTAAAGGCAGCTCGCGGGACCCCGATGGTGGCCAAGTAGGAAGGCCAGTCACGTCAGCAGAGGCCGTGGCCTCATCGGCCCAGCCCCCCGGGGACGCACACAGACTCAGGCAGAGAGGAGGTACCTCGAGTAATAAAGCAAGGCGGCAGTCCTGGAGGTGGCGGAGGAGGAGAGCAGTGAAGGGAGGAAAAAAGGGAAAACAGGGTTAGGAAGAGCCAGGCCACACCAGGACTCAGGCTGAACATGAATCATTTATGGAAACGACCAACATCACTGGGCAGTGAACAGGGGAGAGCTGCCCCCGGGGCCCCATGCGCAGCCAGAAGCCAGAGGACCCGCAGGCCATCTGTGACCCGACGTGGCTTCTACCTCCTCCAGCCTCGGGCCCACAGCTGGTGAGACAGCAGGGCTAAGTGACCGTCATGACTTCACTGAGAACACGCAGAGCTGCACAGCAGCTTACACTGGGAACATTCCCAGCAGGTTTCCCTGAAGCCCACTCACTCCCTCTTTACAGTCTGAGCCAGCTCGGGGGAAGTAAGTGAATGATGCAGGTTCCCCGGGAGCTGGCTCCTTCCTGCTCACCCACGGTTTCCAAGTCAAGGTCAGCACCAACCTGCCCCTCACCACCCGCTGGCTGCCCCACCCTCGCCACAGCCCGGGGGTCCGCGGGGCTCGCTGTCAGCACAGCCGGGACCCGTGGCCTCCTGGCCCCCGCTGCACGCCTGCAGTGTGGACCTGGCAGTGGACACACGGAGACCAAAAAAGACACACAGTCGCGATCGCTGCCTTTGACTGGATTCATTCTGTCTGGCTTCCAGCCCACTCAACACCTGGTTTTAGCTGAAGTTCCCTGAAAAACAGCTAGAGGACAGCGGGGTGGGGGGGAGCACAGTGGTCTCACAGGAGGGCCACCCCATGGAAGGCAGACACCTGAGCTGGGCCTGCGGGCACACAGGTGACTCAACCACTCCACGACCTCCTTTCACCTTGCCGACATTCCCCCAAAGGAAAGTAGAAAAACTGACACTGTCCAGAGTGAAGCCAGGTCAGACAGGATGGCCGGGGGCAGCTGGGGCGGTGGCAGGAGCTCGCGGCAGAGCCCCAGCCTGTGTGTGTGGAAGAGGACAGGTCCGGTGGGATGCGGGCAGCATCGGCACAGTGGGGTATCGCCCCACCATGCAGCCTCCACGCAGGAGGCCTGCCCTCACAGAGGCTCCAGAAACCAGGCTGAGGCCTGCGGGGGCCAAGCTGTGTCGGGGGGAGCGGGGTGGGGCAGTGGCCAGCCGGGGGGCTTGCTCAGGAGCCGACACAGGCGGCCGGGTCCACCACAAATTCCAGACACTCGTCTTTTCTTTCAGTTTCCACCCACAGACTCAGAAGAAAGTGGAATGGCCTCTAGGAGAAAAACCTGCTCTGTGACCTCACAGATGGACAGAGCCAGTCCCCAAGGCTGCACAGAGGTCAAGGCGCTCAGCCTTCAAGGCAAGACTGTGAACAACATTTCAGAGCCCAAAGACCAGCAAGACACTTGTTCTGAATTTTCATAAACAAAAGAATCTGTAGGCAAATTCTTCTGGAAACCTAAAAAAATCACCTCTCAATTTTTAAACACCAAGAACATCCCTATTTCTTGATACTTCACCTGAACATTCTGTACGCCAACACAGAAAGTAGCAAGGGTGTTTCTCGGTTCAGTACATCAGAGACAGTGTTCTCGAACAGTCTAAGACAGTCTGCCACATGCAAAGTCAGAGACTTCTGTCCCGGGGGACACACCACTGCTCCCAGTGTCTCTGGAATAAGCCATCTGCTCGGGGGAAGCGTCGTTCAGAGCAGTGACCAGATCATCTCCTCCGCTGACTCTGCCCTGAGCTGCCACATGTCTGGGACCACCCTGTGTGCTGTGGCCCCGGGGCTGATTGGTTCACCTGTGTCCCGCTAGCACCCTGGCAAGACTGAGCATGAGGTGCCCCTGGCCTAGAGGAACAGGTTCACAGAACCACCACTGCAGCCATACAACACCTTTCCTCTTGTTAACTGTGCAGAACAAGCCGTGCCAGACTCCAAAACAAGTCAGAAATGACATGGTCTCCGGCTGGCCCCCACAGCACCAGCAGTAAAGCCTTGTTGACATGGGGACTCCCACCATACAACCACAGGGGTACAGGCAAAAAAACCACATTATCATGTAAATAACCTGAAATGAAAACAATTTAAAGTAGACATTTGTTTTTCAGCAGTTTAGAGTTTGCCACATAATCCAGTCAACAAATTACAGATAAACAGAAAACAAAAAACAGCCACGGTGCTTCAGACCAGGCAGAAGGCACGCGGCCCCATGACCCCACGGGAGGACACGGAGCGGCGGGGCAGACGGCCTGTCACCCTTCTCCCCAGTCAAACTTCACAACATTAAACAGACTCAGACTCAAGGCAAACTACGGAAATGGTCTTTCTAAGAGGAGGTGAACAGAAGCACCTGTCCCTCCCCTAGAAACTTGTTTTCATCAGAGCCTGGACGGGAGAGGAAGGGACCAGAGAGGAAGAGGATGGGCCTGACAACTGCGGACACAGCTCAGTCTCCACAAGGACCAGACATGCTGTTCGGGCCAAAAAACAGGAGGAGCCTGGGCGCCGTCATGGGCCTCTCCTCTACTCCAGGGCTGTGCTGTGAGGAGAAGCCCCTGGAGGCACCACTGCTGGGGGTCCCGACAGTGAGCTGAGGCCAAGTGTGGAGAATGAAGGCTGGGGGTGGCCTCCCTTGACTTCCAGAAGAGGTGGGGATCCTGACCTTCCTCTCAGCTGAGCCATGAGAACGGGGGAAGCAGCCCGCCAGGACTCGGGCCGCAGCACAGGCAGCACGCTCACTGCCTGGGGGACAGGTCCTGCCCTACCATCCTGCACCAGAAACAGTGGGTGGCCCCACATTCAGGTCCAACCACGGTTCTGCTTTGGTGAACTTGCCCCTGGCCCCAGTCCCTGGTGAGACGCCATCATGTCATCACACTCTATACTCGGGCGGACAGTCCCTGGTGAGACGCCATCATGCTATCACACTCTACACTCGGGCGGACAGTCCCTGGTGAGACGCCATCATGCTATCACACTCTACACTCGGGCGGACAGTCCCTGGTGAGACGCCATCACGGTATCACACTCTACACTCGGGCGGACAGTCCCTGGTGAGACGCCATCACGGTATCACACACTACACTTGGGTGGACGTTCCTGGTGAGACGCCATCATGTTATCACACTCTACACTTGGGTGGACGTTCCTGGTGAGACGCCATCATGTTATCACACTCTATACTCGGGCGGACAGTCCCTGGTGAGACGCCATCATGCTATCACACTCTACACTCGGGCGGACAGTCCCTGGTGAGACGCCATCACGGTATCACACTCTACACTCGGGCGGACAGTCCCTGGTGAGACGCCATCATGTTATCACACTCTACACTCTACACTCGGGTGGACATTCCTGGTGAGACGCCATCATGTTATCACACTCTACACTTGGGTGGACGTTCCTGGTGAGACGCCATCATGTTATCACACTCTACACTCTACACTCAGGTGGACATTCCTGGTGACACGCCATCATGTTTTCACACTCTACACTCTATACTCGGGTGGACATTCCTGGTGAGACGCCATCATGTTATCACACTCTACACTCTATACTCGGGTGGACATTCCTGGTGAGACGCCATCATGTTATCACACTCTACACTCTACACTCAGGTGGACATTCCTGGTGACACGCCATCATGTTTTCACACTCTACACTCTACACTCAGGTGGACATTCCTGGTGACACGCCATCATGTTTTCACACTCTACACTCTATACTCGGGTGGACATTCCTGGTGAGACGCCATCATGTTATCACACTCTACACTCTACACTCGGGTGGACATTCCTGGTGAGATGCCATCATGTTATCACACTCTACACTCTACACTCAGGTGGACATTCCTGGTGACACGCCATCATGTTTTCACACTCTACACTCTATACTCGGGTGGACATTCCTGGTGAGACGCCATCATGTTATCACACTCTACACTCTATACTCGGGTGGACATTCCTGGTGAGACACCATCATGTTTTCACACTCTACACTCTACACTCAGGTGGACATTCCTGGTGAGACACCATCATGTTTTCACACTCTACACTCTATACTCGGGTGGACATTCCTGGTGACACGCCATCATGTTTTCACACTCTACACTCTATACTCGGGTGGACATTCCTGGTGAGACGCCATCATGTTATCACACTCTACACTCTACACTCAGGTGGACATTCCTGGTGACACGCCATCATGTTTTCACACTCTACACTCTATACTCGGGTGGACATTCCTGGTGAGACGCCATCATGTTATCACACTCTACACTCTACACTTGGGTGACAGTCCCTGGTGAGACACCATCATGTCTTCACACTCTACACTCAGGTGGACATCCCTGGTGAGACGCCATCGTGTCATCACACTCTACACTCACCTGGACAGCCTCTCTCTCCAGGAGCACAGGTGCCCTCCTTACCTTCCAGAAGAGGATGCTGCAGTGCCGGCAGAAGTGCAGGGTGTCTCCGTACTGCTCCTTGGTGGGGTAGTGCTTCTGAAGCGCAAAGTACATCAGCTTCCACTCCACATGACCTTTTTCTGAAAGGATCAAGTGTCTACAAAACTAGACAAACAGACTTCTGTTCAGAATCAGATGACTTTCGTAGCAGTGTCATGTGCACAACAACTTTAAAAGGCAACACAGTGCAGGAAACATTCAATTATCTGAAATTAAATTCGAGCTGAATCTAGATAATGGAATACCATGCAGCTGTTCAACAGACTTAAAGGTTTTTATCTGGAGTGATGTCCATGATGTCTACTAAGTTAGAAATAAGTTACATGTATCGTGTCTGACAGGGACTTGTCACCAGAATGCAGAAAGTATCCAAATACAACATGGCCAGAGCATTTGGAAAGACACACAAACAGGCAAACAAGCACATGAAAAGATGCTCAGCGTCTTGGGCCCCAGAGACGGCAGGAGGCAGCACCTCACACCCTGCAGGGCAGCGACCACACCCTCGGAGGAACAGGCATGGATGGCATGCTGAGCAGGCGGACCTGGGCATAGCCAGGGGCTGCCCGACGCAGCAGCATCTTCACGGTTCCTCACAATGTTACCCTCTGCTCGTGACCCCATGCCCCCAGGAGAAGGCGACCATGGTGGCCCCACAGCCTGGCTGTGCCCAACCTCTCACCCTCTGATTCAGGCGGGAACCTGCTCGCTGCCCCCACCACCTTTCTCCTGGATAGGTACGTGACCCCTCAGGTCTGCGAGCCTGTGTCTGAGAAGACACATGACATCTGGCCCTCCCTGGGGCCTCCCTGGGGCAAGGCTGTCTGCTTTGGCCCCGCACACTGCTGCGTGTATCATGGACACCCAGCTGGCGGTGCTGCGCTGCAGAAACCACACAGGGCAGGGGTGGCAGGGAGGGGCAGCGATAACCGGGAGACACACAGCATCCGCCGGAACCCAAGGCTGGCCCCGTCCTGGGAGGGCAAGGTGCAGGGAGCAGGCGCCTACCCCTGAGTCTCAAGGGGACACGCCGCCTGGAGAGGGGCCTCCAGTTACAGCAAAGACTAATGGCCTGTCCTTGACAGGAAGAAACTGCCCCGGTTCTGCTGCTCTGTTCTGGGCCGTTTTTGAAATTAGGGCTTTCTCCACATGGAAAGCAAGCTTTCCCGTAGTGATTCCAGTCCACTCCCTGAAGCGGCCAGGCTCGGCCATCAGGGCCACAGCCCCCACTCACCTGCTTCTCCCCAAAGTGGTACTGGCAGAGCTTCTTCCACAGCTGCCGGTCCTCGCTGAGGGCGAACAGTGTCGGGGTCACCTGGCCCAGGGTGACGATGTCCCACCCGTCCGAGAACCTGTGCAGGATGTTGCTGAGCATGTGCACAGGGAGGTCGCTGAGCGTCAGGCCGCTGTCCACCTGCTGGGAGGGCCCCACACTCACTCCAGCGGCAACACAGGAGCACGTCGGGCACAGCGACGTCTGCTGCCTCCCCACTCCTCCCAGAGGACACCCTGCGGCGGCCCTGGCTGCACCTGGGGCCCCAGACACCGACACCCTAGCCCCCGAGTGCGCTGGGTGTCCTGGCGTTACTGCACGTTGGGGACTCGGGGACAGTGGCACCTGGGCCCGGTCTGGAAAGCAGACACGCCCCACATGTTAAGTGTCTTACAGGCGAGTGGCCCTGACAGCACAAGCCCCTGACCACGGGAATGAGGCTGCCTGGACACAGAATATCAGATCATTCCTGCTAACTGCAGGGCCTTAACTAGGGAATCACCACTCCTATAAATCCCGCATTTACATGGCAAATACATGGCCCAAGGTCACCTCTGAACCCAACCAGAGATAAACCAAACACAACCTAAGACACTTCAGTGAATGGGGTCAACATTTCTCTTGGTGAAACCAGTTATCAGAATCAACATAAAACATCAAAGACAGCAAGAAGTGGAGATGAAAACACCAACCCTGAGAAGCAACAGCAGGTGAACAGAGTCACTACTATATGGTGCCGCTTTAATTTACCGAATGTTATTCCAGCCTAAAATATCTAATCTGCTGTCAAGGCAAATTAATTTACCACCTCATCACCCATAGGACCAGCTGTTTTTAATAATTACCATCCCTACTGTCTTTCCAGTGACACCTATAAGCCATTACAGAGTCTTTAGGTCTGAACCCATCTTACGACCGTTTAATATGTATTCACGAAATAAAAAGAGAAAAAAACCTCTGGAAGAGCTGTGACAGTCTTCCACATACACTTAGAAGTAGCAATGGCTTCTGTGATGTAACAGCAGAGACGACTCACTTGCAGTCCAGAAAGCACATACCTCAGTCATCTGAAGATTCTGCAGCTGCTGCTGCCAGCGGAGAACAGTCTCTAATCGGCAAATCCAGATGTTGATGTTTCCCACCAGCACGGACTTCCCCACTCCTCGGATCAGAATGCACAGGGTGGAGCTGAGGTCTTGGAGAAGATCCTTGATCAGGCGAGGGTTTTGGTGATCACCAAGAACTGGAATAAACAAAAATGAAACAATGCAACAATACAGTCAGCCCCCACTGTTAAAAATGACCTGCTTTCGGGCTTCTCTGGGGGCTCAGTGAAGAATCCACCTGTCAATGCAGGAGAGCCACGGTTTGCTCCTGGATCCAGGAAGATTCCACATGCCTCAAAATAACTAAGCCTGTGAGCCACAACTATTAAGCCCGTGCTCCAGAGCCTGGAAGCCACAACGACTGAGCCCATGAGCTGCAACTACTGAGGCCTGAGAGCCCTAGAGCCTGCGCTCCCCAACAGAAGCCGCCACGATGAGAAGCCCATGCACAACTAAAGAGGAGCCCCCACTCTCTGCAACCAGAGAAAAGCCTGTGCAGCGACGAGGACCTGGCACAGCCAAAAATAAATAAATAAGTCAAACGATTTCTAAAGTGACCTGCTTTCACAACCCAAGGGCCTCTCAGCAGATGCCACAGGTAAACAGAATGTGATTTATACACACAATGGAATATTACTCAGCCTTAAACAGGACAGAAATTCTGACATGTGTCACATGAGACCTGAAGACCTTATGATAAGAACAAGTCACAAAGGGACAAGTGTTGTCTGATGCTCCTAATATGAGGTCCTTGGAATAGTCACATTCACAGAGAGTAGATGGTGGGTGCAGGGGAGGTGGGATTAGTGTGTGGGGGGACGGTGTATCAGTTCTGCCGACAGCGTGTCACCACTGTGGCAGGGACAGCTGCTGTGATGTGACTATGCTCAGTGCCACCAAGCTGTGCACTCAAGATGCACAGGAAAGATGGTGTTTTATGTACATTTCACCACAAAGAGAAAATAATGATTTAATTTCACTGCATATCCAAAGTGGCATCATTTTTGAGGTATCACAAGTATGATGAGATTCGAAAACTTCCAACTGAAAACTTCCAAATGCTGTCTGATAGTGTACTTGGGGTTGAGTCTACAATTTTGTCTTTAAAACCATCTCTACTTTCTTTTATACTTAATCATAAAGAGAACTGATATTTAAAATGGCATATATATGCATAAACTCTTAAAGTTCCATTTACTATTGGCCACTAACTAATCAAGACAAACATTAGGTTAAAAAGAAAATTACAGGTTTATCTGATGCCGAAGAACTAAGTCACAACCTTGCCAATTACAGAATCACTATATAGCAAAAGTGAGCTATGACTAGTTAACCATGAAGCAGTAAGTGTCCATTTAAAACTCAGGGATTACTTTCTCAGGGACTTCCCTGCCAGCCCAGCGGTTAAGATTGCACTTCTACTGCAGGAAGCATGGGTTTAATCCCTGGTGGGGGAACTAAGATCCCACATGCCTCAGGGGTGCCCCCCAAATTGTCTTTCTCATTACAATATATTCTGTGTCCTAAAGCATCTTTTAAAGAACAATACTAAGAACATCAAGTCCCAAGCGGCCAACCTGAGCCCATCACATTATTTGACACCATTAGTACTGGAGGTAAATAAAAGAAAAATCCAATCTCCTTGTACTAAGTTTCTAAGACTGAGATCATTAAAAATGTCAGTCCTCGCCTTACCCTTCTGAACGATCTTATCCAGAATGTTGAAGTAGTTCTTCTGGGCCACACCACTCAGCGAGGTCAGCTGGGACTTTGCAATCAGCTGCAACAGCTTGGGGGGCGGGGAGGGGTTACAGGTGAGCATCACCTCTGAAGGGAAGCCCACCTCCCCACCCCAGTGACCCGAGAAGAAAGCAAAGGATGCAGGTACAGCTGCTGCTCAACCCCCACCCTCCAGCCCCGGCCAGGGTCCTGGCCGCCCCTGCTGCACTCTCTGCCCTCTCCTTTGACCGCCCCAGCCTCACAGGGGCCAGACCTCCCCTGATGGCCCCCCAGCACATCTGTCCCACTGCTCCTGCGGGTCCATCCAGCCCCGATGTCCACCTGCCTCCCGGGCGCCCCCTCCGTCAGAGGCGGGCTGCTCTCAGCACATGGAAGCCGTTGCATCCCTCCTCGGCTCTGAGGGAGGAGGGGTCCCAGTGGCCGGCAGGGAAGCCAGCGGGTAGGACCCAGGGGGGACGCAGCAGTAGTGCCGGTTTCTCGGCCACAGAGCTTCCCCTCCCCTCTGCATGTCGAGGACACTGGTCACCACAAACACAGCGCATCTCTAGGAGTCTCCAGCGCCCCATGCCCAGCTCTGTGCATACCAGTTCAGGAGACCTGTGTCAGCCCATCCCCACCCGCTCATGTCCTGCAACTGCTGTGCCTGCGCAGGCCCTCACTGAGGCCATGCCTGTCTGGGGTGCTGGTCAGACCCCCACCTGCACACACACACCCGTTCACTGCTGCCCATACTGTTCCTGAGCAATCTGAGCCCCTCTGGGTGAGCCGTAAACACCTTCCAGAACCTGGATCACATCTGCTCCTGTGTTTCTGAAAAGGGGTTCTTCATCCCTCCTTTCCAGCCCTCCCTGCTGCCTCTGTCAGCTGCAGAGGGAGCAGAGAAAGTGCCAACTCACACACACTTACACACTCGTGCACATACTCGCACCGCTGTGTTGACTGTGGAGGCCAGAACAACAAACATGACAATCACATGGTAACTGCTGGGGAGGATCACGCCGCTAACGCTACTGTGTCTATGCATAGGTGCCCGGTGCTGCAGTGATTACAGAAACCACACCCCAGGCTGGGCTGGAGGTCACGTAACCAGCCAGCGTTCTGTCCTGACAGGAGCACTCCTACAGGCCCCTACGGGGAGTGCCCACCACAGCCTCATGGCACTATTAAAAATCCCAACTGACAGTTTCATGACTCACCACTTACTCTTGGCCTAGGACAGTCAGGTGAGTAAACTTGCTAGGCAAGTAAAAACAAACAATAAATGGAATATAGAGTGAGAGCTCTTATTTTCTGAATGCAGGAAAAGGTAGACATTTCTTCTAAAAATGTATCATTAACACAATAAGGCTTCTATGCAGCTCTGTTCTGTATCAATTCCCTTCCTTCCACTAGCTTGCTCCCCTCTACCGAGCAGGGCTCATGCTCTGGGAAAAACACCAAGTAGAAAATGCATATGAGACCACCAGGTAAGAAACCCTGAGAGGAACGCCCGCCTCTCCTTCCGTCTCCAACATGACACATGAGGTAGGCTGGAGGGAGCTTCAGTCCTCCTCCTGACCCCCAGCCCCCACCCCATGGTTCTCCACCAGGAACAAGCACAGCTTTACGCAGCTGCCCAAAGCATCTTAAACATGGGATATGATAATCTTTAGGGCGCAACCACTCCACGTGTCCTCCGGTGGCTCTGAAATGAACACTCACCCTGACCACGTAATTGAACCTTCGGATGTCCTGGATCGCACTCGAGAAGTCTAAGCGATTAAAAGCTTCTCCCAAAGTACAGTAGCCGTGTCTCTGGAAAAACAGACATGAGTGATGATACATCAAATCAGCCAACCAGGCAAAATGAACGGCCAGCTAACGGGAATTAATCCGTGCAACTTTTTTTTTTTTAATTTTCGCAAAGGATAGTCATTTTTACTATGATTTATTCCATATTTAGATTTAATTTTTGAGTAAAATTAAAGCCATTCTAAATCTGTCATTTATGTGTAATCAATTATGTATACGCACTGACACTTTACACCTCTGTAGATACAAAGGTAAATACTGATTAAATACTCATCAATTTCTTTTGTTGACATGCATTTGGGGAGGACAAAATTAAGCCTAAAGTAATAAAATAACCAGATGTATTCTAGGCTGTGCAACTATAAATACATAAATCATGCTTGGCCATTATAAAAAAGCCTCTTCTATGAACACATGTGTTGCCATTCAATCCCTCTGCATGCAGTCCTGTGTACGTCCAGCCACTCAGGATCAAGGCCGAGAGGCACCTGGGTGGGGCCGGAGGCTTGCATACCAGTGTTTAGGTGGTAAGGGCTGGAGGCGATGGAATGTGACAACGGGCAGTGTTCAGGCTGGGAACAGGGGGCTTAGTACCCCAAAACCCAAGCATGTGGTAATAAGGCTCACGGGTTCAAGAGTCAAAGACCACGAAGGAAACCTGACTTTTTTTTATTACCAGAAACACTGCTATTTTAGATGTTTTTCTTAATAATATGCCCCATATTCTATATTAAGCGCTGTAGCGATTTGAACCCTAGGTTTCAGAAGACATTTTAAACTCTATCCCTGTTTTTGAACACTTACAACACAGAGAAGTTTTCAGTTCAGAGTTGTGAGCATAAAGCACGGAATAATCACAGAAAACATGAGGAGACAGATACGCCTTGCATTTCACAGAGACAGGAGCGGGCCCAGCAGGGCGGCGCCAGGGACACCTTGTCTCTGACACGAGACACACCCCCAAACCGCAGCAGCCTCAAGGTGCAGAGAAGTCAACAAGACACACTCATCGCAAATGCTCGACATCACTAGCTGCAGAACGTTCCCTGGGGGCTGCAGAAGGCGCGATGGTCATAATACGAAACCCATCACAGCTGATCACATATCTCTTTCTCAGTGAACAGCATCCAGACACCAGTGTGACGGACTCCTCCCGGGCAGCCACCCATCTCACAACAGGGCTGGAAGGCGCATGCGTGCACCTCACAGCAGACACTTGGTGGGCCCAGAGGAGAAGACCAAAGGTGCGATGCTACGTGGAGCGAGGGGGGCCCTCCCGATGCCTGCCTGTGCCCCTGCTCCCCGGACCCAGAAGCATCCGAAGCCTCGCAGCCCCCTCCCCTTCTGCCTCGTGTGCGCCAAAGCAGGATATCTACTCTGTCTCAGAGTCTTTCATGAGCTCACACAGGTTCTCCCGGCAGCACACATCCATTTAACAACAGCAACTACTGCCAAACAGGTCAGATTAACTCCCTGTCTCAGGATCTAACCCTTAAGCTTCTAGGAAATGGGGTTGGTTTCAGAACATCCACTGCCAACACTGCCAGAACACTTCACTCACGCCAACAGTCCAACACATGCTAAACAACTCCTCCCAAATCATTTCCCCCAACTGTCGCAAAATAAGGCAAAAGCAAAAGAGTCTTTCAGGCTACAGATGGAAGCAAGCTTCCCCAGACACCAAGCAGAGAAAAAGGAAACAGACAGCTGAGGTGAACAGACCACACCTTCTGTCAAGAAAGGGGGATGGCAGGGCTTGAACGGCTTTTTGCAGATTCCAACTTAACTACCAACACCACCTTTACTGCTCTACAAATAAACGAGGGTTTACAAGCTGTTCCCACCCTTCCAGAACACACGGGGGCCAAAACACAGCCTCACCAGCAACAGCATCCCACCTCTGAACAACTCGGGGAGGGCGGGGAGAAAATATCAAAGCACCTGCGGGCCCCTACTTGTTCAGAAACAGACCTCAGCTGAATCAGAGCTGTACGGGGTGCTGACATGCACCACACACTCACACACACACACACACAGGCACGCACACACACACACACACACACACACACACTCATGCACTGAAAGACCCTCATAAGGCTTTCACCTGTCAGAATTTGGACACTGATTTGATACTGCAAAAGAAACACTTTACTTAAGGTGACATCAGACATCCAACAGAAGCAATACAAAATATACTCTTATTTATAACAAAATACTTACTTCTCTTGTGCTTTCTTTGTGGACATAGATCCAGTTTTCACGATAAAAACCTAGAATAAGAATTTGCTTTTAACATCTGGTGACTCATTACCAAATGAAGATTTTGAGGAGCTTCAAAAGCTGCACATGTAACAACACTGTCGGATGCCACGTGGACAGGTGACCCCTGACTCAGCCACGTACTTCACCTCCCAACATCAGTTTACCAAGTGCTGAAACGTCTTTGCATGAAAAATGACATGACACGCATCTTGGTGACTTAGAAGAAAATAGTGTCACCAGTGACTTCAGCCATCTCCAAACATAAATGGCTACAAATGTGCATTTTGTATATACCCTAATAAAAATTCTCTTCCTCTTTCATTGTCCCTATATGGTATTCCATTTAAATACATAACTCACGTCCCAGAGTGTCAAGGACGGAGACTACATCGCCCGCGGGAGCCTCCAGGGGGCGCACGACTGGTCGCACCAACAGGCCCTCAGTGACTCGGGGCCGAGCACACGCACAGGCAGCTCTCAGCCGCCCCATCTCCAGGCCCTCGCCCACCCTGCCTACAGGCTCCAGCTCTGACCGCGACTATCTCCTGTTCGGAGCCAGCAGTGTCTCCTGCACCAAAGCAGTGTCAAGGCCTCTAGAGGTCAGTTTCACTGCTTGGGAGTGAACAGACCTGAATTCAGGACCGCTACTGTGACTCAGTGGTAAAAGAAAACCCACCTGCAACGCAGGAGACACGTTCAGGGTACGATCCCTGGGTTGGGAAGATCCCCTGGAGGAGGAAATGGCAACCTGCTCCAGCATCACTGCCTGGAGAATTCCATGGGCAGAAGAGCCTGGCAGGCTCACAAGGAGTAGGACATAGCGACTAAACACACACAATTCAACACTCAGACAGGCTGTTCTGTGGGTTTTCCTGTCTTTTATTTCATTGCTGTAAATCTTACTGATGACTTAGTCAAGCAAAGGGCAGAGCTGCAAGACTCTGACCCCAAGTCTGACCACCTCCGGACACACTGTTGCTTATGTAACTGGATCAGAATTTCTGCCCTAGAACAGCACTGTCAACACAATCCAATTTATCAAAACAGTCCACAAGCAAAAATCATGACATTATTAATGAAAATGATCTTACACTGAGTATTTGTGTCATTTCTAAAATGGTCCTTTTTCCTTTTTTTGGATGCATATTCGTGCTCTTCATTACTGAATATTTCTTCATCTTCACTATTTAAGATACTGAAACAAAGATACATTTTATTAAAATATTTTTAAAAGGATTTCTTCATTTGGATTCTCTTTTGTAAAATAAATAAACAAATTTTGGTTTATATGGACAATAAATACTTTTACAATTCAGGAGCCCAAAATAAAAATCATGTTAAAATCTGAAGGCAATCACCTAATTTTCAAAGCAACAAATCACACGTTTGAAATTACAAGGCTAATATTTAAGTTTTTTGTTTGTTCTGAGAAATCTGAGGTTTATCCTGGTTCTTATCAGAAAGTTGTATCAGGAAGTGATGTACATGTTTTAGAATCTCCTAAGGATTTTGATATGCTCAACCAAGGTCTTTTCAGACTTTAAAACTTATATTTATAATCTATACTCTGGAAAAAAGTACCTGATACTAATGATCTGCTGTCTCCCTGATCCAATGCTGAGGAAACACCCAATATTTCTGCTTGTCCTCACGTTTCCAAAGACTCAACTAGAACATTACTGCACTGGCACGTATCTTTACGAAGCATCAAATAATGCTGCCTATTAAGGCCTCTAACTGAAGCCGGATGAAGTAAAACATGTCTTTTATCCACTGAAATACATGTAATTTAAAGCTTTCCCATTTTTTTTCTTTTGGATGAAACAAGATAATAAAATCATAAGGTGATAACTAAACAACTTGAAAACACTTTCTTTAAAAAAAAAAAATCTTCCTTGTAATTAAAAAAAAAAAAAAGACTAGGCAAAACGCAGCCCACCCCCTTCAAAAGCGAAGATGACGCAATGTTCACTCTCAGCATAGTGACCCTGGACAGCTTTCCAGCTGGTGGCAAAGAGGGGCTCCCTGGAGATCCTGGCCTGCAGTGGTCCAAGCACCGATGCGCAAAGCCAAGGAGGTCACACCGCGGGCTTCCTCGCCACCACGCTCTGAAAATTGTACACAGGCGCCATCCATTAACCCGAATTCACTTTTAATAAAAAACAGCTGAATTTGCCAAATGAATGCATTCATCACTGTCAGAACAGACTCAAACAACACTGGCAAGAACTGCAAATCATCAAGACAGGCAAAAGAGCACTTACCAAAAACAAACAACTTAACTTTCAGTGACAGGTGCTAAATAACACCAATTCATAGAAATCGGATGATCCTGTCTGTATCTCACACCTAGTCTCACACGAGTTTGCTGTCACTGATTCAAGCACTAAAGGCAGAAGCTCTCAAATCTGAACAGCTTCGCTAATGACAATCACAAGGGTATCCGGGAGGAGCGGAACCACACTGCTCTCCAGAAAGACATCAGAGAAGTGTAACCCGGCGCGGGGCATGAGGGAGCTGCCCAGCACCCCACACCCGACTCTCCGCTGGCTGGGCGAGCAGCGAGGGGCCCTGGGGAGACATGCCCACGTGTGCTCTGCCAAACTCTGCCCTGGGAGGGCCAGGCCGCCAGACTGCCCCTCATCTGAAGGAACAGTCCGGGGACAAACGTATAGGAGGAAGCACAGACACCTATGTACTTAAGCTGTCTGACTTATGCTGTCAGTTCAAATACACAGTTGAGAATTAGGTCAATGTGAGATAAAAATATGCAGTATGATCCACAGCAAAACCCATGAGTCTCTGGAGGTAGAGGTCCCCAGACCTCCCACTCCCCAAGCGCTGCAGGACACTGGTGACATGGACTATGGGTGACTCGCCACGGCCCGCCAGCCTGCTTCTGCATCTGCAATCACTCACTTCCATCTGGGGAGGACCACGGCCCCCAGCCGCCGCTGCCGCTCACACACCAGCTCGTGAGGTGGGGACAGGCGTCTCCCTCTTCCCTTCTCCCGCCAGGAGGAAGCTACACCCTGAACCGCACACGTGAGGCCGCACTCTGGGACCCGCAGAGCAACGAGACACGTCACTTCAGCCCCGAGCAAAGTCACAGCGCCACTCAGGCCTCCAAGAGAAACCTCTCCCATCTGGTGCAAGCCATTATTAGGGGCCTCGGACATAGGCCAGCAGCACTGCGTCTTTTCATTTCTTCTCCTTCCTCAGCTATGCGTGCATGTTTAATCACTTCAGTTGTGTCTGATTCTTTGTGACCCCATGGACTGCAGTCCGCCAGGCTCCTCTGTCCGTGGGGTTTTCCAGGCAAGAAAACTGGAGTGGGTCGCCATTCCCTTCTCCATCCTCAGCTATAATGGGAAGTTAATAATAACAACACCGATCTCTCAGAAAGCTGTAAGTAGTAAACGTTTTAAATAAAAAGAAGATAGCAGCATCTGTGTGTGGGCACCAGCAATCCACCAGGCTCAGACTCTAGCTAATAACTTGTCTTCTCACACCAGCCTGTCTGGGGGTGATTCTCAGCCAACTGGTAAGTCACGGGGCTTCAGCAGACACGACATCAATGTTGGATGGGAGACACCATGGCTCTGCTGAGCTAGACTCACATGCCGTGGCCAATGTCACACTGGCTGTTCTCTCCCTCAAGTTCCTGGCTCCATGCATCACATCTTTTCCAGCCGTCTTCTGTTTTGATCCAACTCCATCCAGGAGATCTCCAATCCTGGCCCAAAAATGGCATAGTTCGCCTATAAAACATGGTTACCTTATGTTAAAAATGTGTAAGTGATATGGTTCTTTTCATTTAGAACATGTGTTCATTAATTTTAATGAATACAATCCTATTTAAATGTCTGTATGTGCCTTACATGCCGGCTACACAGAAAGATAAGACAGTGAAGATAGCACAGTCCTCAGTTGCCCTAACAGGGTAAGACAGATAAGGACTGGTGGATTTCCTAGCTCAATCCTGCATGTGCCATGAAAGGTGTCCCAGGGCTGACATCCCAGCTCATACCTGAAGAACAAGCAGTCAGAGAGTGAGGAAGAAAGGGGGAAATGACACAACAGAAAATCCACTCAGAAGATAGAAGCAAAGGACATGAGACACTGATGCTCAGCCCTGTACACAGTCGGGTTTGGTGAAGCTGACCACGAAAGGGGAGGAGCGGGGAGTGGCTAGCATGAAAACGAAGAGGCCACCAACGCAAACGACTCAAAGGAGCTGGACTGCACTCTGAGGACTCAGAGTGGCCAACACAGGGACCTCTGCAGGGAGGCGACTCAACCAGATCTGAGCGTCACAAAGACCTCAGGCTACTCAGTTTCTCTGCCAGCACCTCATGTCTTCCCAGTAATGAGTGTCCTCTGAAATTACACGGCTGCCACCTGCCTTCCTCAAGAAAATACCATGTCTTGTTCAACTCTGTATCCCAATACCTAGAACGATGCCAGGCACATAGGGAGCTCACCAGTCACTGAATGAATGGAAGAATGAATGAAACACAAGCAGATCCATGACTCGGGGGAGAGGGTGAGGCAAGAGAGTAAGGTGGGAAAACCATCAGCATCCAGACAGTATGACCACAGGAACAACGTCTCAGACAGAGACCAGGCTGAGTGGGACAAGGAGAGTCAAGCCACAAGCTCTAAGACTCACTGACATGTAAGGAATGGGCAGATGAAGATGAGCCAAGAAAGGACACCAAAAAGGAAATGCCACAGATGCAGCAGAAGTGGCAATGCAAGACAAGAACGGATTCAAGAAAGAAATGATCAACAGAGAGGTAAGTGTGATAAAGAAGCCATTACAGTAAGAATTTAAAAGTATACCTTGTATTCAGCTGTACAAAAAGGTATTTCATAATCCAACAGAAAGTTTCAGTAGAGTAACTGTGTTAAATTAACCTCATGTCCAAAGTAAATCTGGGGTATTTCCCTAATATCACACATCATATCAGAGTACACAAGAGATTAAAGTGTTTAAATACCATCTCCCAAATATATTTAATATAACTCACAAAAAATAAGCTATGAAAAAGGCATTTATACGGGCTTAAAAAAGACAAAAAAATTTCAGAGAGAAATTCTAAGCCTTCAACAATATTCCTGAGTTAACTACAAGTGCCCAACATGAAATGTATGAAGTAATTTTCCGCCATACCAAAAGGATCTCAAAACCTTGTTTAATTAATAATCAGAACACACCTTTTTAAGTCATATATTATTTAATTTAAATCCTTGCTTTAGAAAATAATTAAAAATAATTTCCTAAATCTCAACAGTACATCAATAAAGCTCATATTACAGTCCTGTTTCACAACTACAGATCACCCTGAAATGCAAAAGCTGCCACCCATGTCCAGTCAATCCAGATAAAACACAAACAAGAAAAAAATGTCTGTTAGGACCACTCTGACAACTGCCAAAGTATCTTTCAATATCATATTTAAACTGCATTTTAGAATAATCAAGTGGCAACCGTACAGAATATTGCCAATAGGTCCAAGATACGACTTCTTCAATGACAAATATATAAACACAGACTAAATGAGTTGTTCCAATCCCAAAGAAAGGCAATGCCAAAGAATGCTCAAACTACTGAACAACTGCACTCATCTCACATGCTATCAAAGTAATGTTCAAAATTCTCCAAGCCAGGCTTCAACAGTACGTGAACTATGAACTTCCAGATGTTCAAGCTGAATTTAGAAAAGGCAGAGGAACCAGAGATCAAATTGCCAACATCCATTGGATCATCAAAAATGCAAGAGACTTCCAGAAAAACATCTACTTCTGCTTTATTGATTATGCCAAAACCTTGACTGTGTGGATCACAACAAACTGCGGAAAATTCTTCAAGAGATGGGAATACCACACTACCTGACCTGCCTCCTGAGAAATCTGTATGCAGGTCAGGAAGCAACAGTTAGAACTGGACCCAGAACAACAGACTGGTTTCAAATCAGGAAAGGAGTATGTCAAGGCTGTATATTATCACCCTGGTTATTTAACTTATATGCAGAGTACATCAAGAGAAAAGCTGGACTGGATGAAGCACAAGCCAGAATCAAGATTGCTGGGAGAAATATCAGTAACCTCAGATATGCAGATGACACCATCCTTATGGCAGAAAGCGAAGAAGAACTCAAGAGCCTCTTGATGAAAGTGAAAGAGAGTGAAAAAGTTGACTTAAAACTCAGAATTCAGAAAACTAAGATCATGGTATCCAGTCCCATCACTCCATGCCAAATAGATGGGGAAACAGTGGAAACAGTGACAGACTTTATTTGGGGGGGCTCCAAAATCACTGCAGATGGTGACTGCAGCCATGAAATTAAAAGACACTTGCTTCTTGGAAGAAGAGTTATGACCAACCTAGAAAGCTTATTAAAAAGCAGAGACATTACTTTGCCAACAAAGGTCTGTCTAGTCAAAGTTCTTCCAGTAGTCATGTATGGATGTGAGAGTTGGACTAAGAAGAAAGCTGAGCGCCAAAGAATTGATGCTTTTGAACTGTGGTGTTGGAGAAAACTCTTGGAGAATCCCTTGGACAGCAGGGAGATCCAGCCAGTCCATCATAAAGGAAATCAGTACTGAATATTCATTGGAAGGACTGCTGCTGAAGCTCAAAGTCCAATACTTCGGCCACCTGATGCAAAGAGCTGACTCATCTGAAAAGACCCTGATGCTGGGAAAGATTGAAGGCAGGAGGAGAAGGGGACGACAGAGGATGAGATGGTTGGATGGCACCACCTACTTGATGGACATGAGTTTGAACAAGCTCCGGGAGTTGGTGATGGACAATATACTCCAGTCCATGGGGTCACAAAGAGTTGGACATGACTGAGCAACTGAACTGAATTGAAATGTGTTGTTACATTATACATCCCTTCCCTAAAGGTATACCAGTATACTCTTTTGATGAACTGAAAAAAAAAAAAATGAAAGCCCCCTCCACATACAATATATGTAAATACATTTAAACATATGTGCAGATGAAGGCAATCAAAATGCACAAACTTAGTTATAAAATAAACAGGTACTATGGATGTACTGTACAACAAGCTAGTTAAAACTGCTGTACATTACATATGAATGCTATAAAAACAGCAAATCTTATGACTTCTCATCATGAGGAAAAATACTTTTTTTCCTATTTCTTTACTGTTGTATCTATATGAGATAATAGATGTTCACTAAACCTATTGGGGTACTCATTTTGTGATGTATGTAAATCAGACCATCATGCTCTACATATAACATTTGGTTTAAAAAAACTGAAAATAAAGCTACCATAGGATTCTGCAATCCTACTCCTGGGCATATATTTGGAGAAAAACATGATCTGAAAAAATGCATGCACCCCAATGTTCACTGCAGCAGTGCTTACAATAGCCAAGACATGGAAGCAATGGACAGAGGCCTAGATAAAGAAGATGTGGTACATATATACAAAGGAATATTACTCAGCTGCTAGAAAGAATGAAATAATCCCATTTGCAGCAACATGGGTGGACCTAGAGAGTGCATACTGAGTGAAATTAAGTCAGAGAAGGAGAAGTATCTTAGGACATCCCTGATGTGTGGAATCTAAAGAGAAATGATACAAACAGTAAGACTCACAGACCTAGAAAACAAACTTATGGTTGGAGAGGGTGGGGGGAGGGTAAAGGGAAGACACAGTTTTGGAGTTTGGGATGGACATGTACACTCTGCTATATTTAAAATGGACAACTAACAAGGACATATGGTACAGCACATGGAACTCTGCTCAATGTTATGTGCCAGCCTGGAGGGGAAGGGGGGTTAGGGGAGAATGGATACATGTGTACATATGGCTGACTTCACCTGATACTATCACGACATTGTGAATCAGCTAAACCCCAATACAAAAAAAAGAATTTTTTTAAACTTATATACAGTGCTATCAGTTCAGTTCAGTCGCTCAGTTGTGTCTGACTCTTTGCCACCCCATGGACTGCAGCACGCCAGGCCTCCCTGTCCATCACCAACTCCCAGAGCTTGTTCAAACTCATGTCCATCAAGTAGGTGGTACCATCCAACCATCTCATCCTCTGTCATCCCCTCCTCCTGCCTTCAATCTTTCCCAGAATCAGGGTCTTTTCAAATGAGTCAGTTCTCCTCATCAGGTAGCTAAAGTATCAGAGCTTCTGCTTCAGCAGCAGCCCTTCCAATGAATATTCAGGACTGATTTCCTTTACAATTGACTTTGCAGCCCAAGGGACTCAAGAATCTTCTGCTACATCACAGTTCAAAAGCATTAATTCTTCAGCACTTAGCTTTCTTTATGGTCCAACCCTCATATCCATACATGACTAATGGAAAAACCATAGCTTTTACTATACAGACCTTTGTCAGCAAAGTAATGTCTCTGCTTTTTAACATGCTCTCTAGGTTGGCCATAGCTTTTCTTCCAAGGAGCAAGCATCTTTTAATTTCATGGCTGTAGTCACCATCTGCAGTGATTTTGGAGCCCAAGAAAATTAAGTCTGTCACTGTTTCCATTGTTTCCCCATCTATTTGCCATGAAGGGATGGGACCAGATGCCAAGATCTTAGTTTTCTGAATGCTGAGTTTTAAGTCAGCTTTTTCACTCTCCTCTTTCACTTTCATCAAGAGGCTCTTTAGTCCCTCTTCATTTTCTGCCATAAGGGTGGTGTCATCTGCACATCTGAGGTTATTAATATTTCTCCCAGCAATCTTGATTCCAGCTTGTGC